TTCCTAAGCACTCTGTTTAGAAGTGATGTGAGCAGTTGATTGGTCTTTCTGAGGGCATTTTGAATCTGCTGAATGTACTGAAGGCAAAATTTAAAAGGCTGTTTCTCTTGGCTTTATTGTTTTTTTCTACAGGTTTTGAAAAGCAACATTTACTTTCTATTTTTTCCAGTGAATTTAAAATACGTCATAATATTTATAGTGTGTTACTTATATCAGATGTTTATTGTGTGACTAGGTAACTGGAATTATTTCGTGCTGAAAGTAAAAAGACTATGGTCATCTTCTCACTCAGGGAAAATGTAGAACAGAAAATAAAAAGTTATGTTTGGTTGGGCATGATGGCTCACACCTGTAATCCCAGCACTTTGGGAGGCCGAGGCAGGGGGATCACGAGGTCAAAAGATAGAGACCATCCTGGCCAATATGGTGAAACCTTGTCTCTACTAAAAAATACAAAACTTAGCTGGGTGTGGTGGTATGCACGTGTAGTCCCAGCTACTGGGAGGCTGAGGCAGGAGAATTGCTTGAACCGGGAGGCAGAGATTGCAATGAGCTGAGATTGTGCCACTGTACTCCAGCCTGGCACCTGGTGACAGAGCAAGACTCTGTCTCAAAAAACAAAAACAAAAACAAGAACAAAAAGTTACGTTTGGTTCTGGGTGGGTCTGTGCTGCCAGTGCATCTATTAAAAGAATCACATAGATCCCAACTTGCCATCATGTGGAGGGGGTAGTGAAAGTTGGCTACCTGAACAAGGACTATGAATAACGTGTGAAAAATATTTTTTTTCTTCATTCCTTTCCTTTCATATCCAACACCTTCCCTCCCCCAAACTGCCTCTCCCCTGAGTGGGTGATGGGGGTGCCTGTCACAGTGATTCTAAGTCTATTTATGGGTCTGTGGCTAGATAACTGAAGCAGTGTTTCCACAAAAATTGCTCATAGTCCGTCACATACAACAGATGTTCACAAACATTTCTTAGCATGAGTGTGTGAATAAGTGATTCTTTAAAAACTCATTATTTGAGAATTTGATTTTCTTACCATAGTGTCTCCCAAAACTGGGGAAGGGAAACTGTCTAAACAGATCCAAAACTTACAAAAATCACAGATACCATTTGGATGGGTAACAAATTTCAAGATCCAAAGGGATAGAGATAGATCGGAAACATCAAACAAATTCAAGAAAATGAAATTTAATACTCAACCATGCACCTTTGAGATGGTAGAGAAATGGTTAGCTGCAGCATGGCAGCATATGTAAATACAGCCAAATTTCCCATTGGTTGTGTTGTATCAGTGCCAGAAAGGCTAATGCAATTCTAAACTACCTCAACAGAAGTAAACAGCACAAAAAAAAAAAAAAAAAAAAGAAAGAAAGAAAAAGAAAAGAAAATGAAGCGATTATTTTACTCTATTCTGAGGTCACACCAGGAGTATGTAGGCAACCCAGCCAGTTGATGAAGAGATATAGGAGAGTGCTAAGGTGGTCAGTTTTAGAAACCTTGGCACAAGCAGAATCTGACTAGCCTTGGCTGGGTGAGTGTGGGAGGGCTGGAAGGTACTTGCATCTACTCTGGTGGCTCCAGGAGAAAGAACCAGGAATTGTATATAGAAGTTGAAAAAGGGCAGATTTGAGTTCAGTGTAAAGAAGAATTTTCTAGCTGACTTGCCTCTTTAAGAGCATGGAGGGGCAGGTTTCTCAAGTTGGTTGTGTTCAAGAAGAGGCTGCACAGCTCCTTACTGAAGATTTCCTCTCAGGTTGGTCTAGACAAGTCACTGTTTCCCTCTAACTCTGTGGTTGTGGTTCGCATGCCATGATGTGAAATAAAGTGAAGTCACATGACAGAAAGGAAATGAGTTTAAGGTCTGTAAAAGTAGATGGCCATCAATATTCTCCATTTCCACAGGGTCCATAGGTCAAAGCTGGCAGGCAGCTGTCCAAGGTGCTGGAGGGAAGTTGGCATGTGTAGGTGGTTGTGCTCCCCCAGTTGTCTTCATGCTTGCTGTTTGTTTTAATGCCTCTGGATTTTCTGCTTTTCTCTTCCTCATACAAATCTACACTTCTCCCTTCCCTACATGCACTGAGTCTTAAACTAAAACGAGAGAAAAACGCATTGGAAACGTGTTAGGGAACTGGGGCTAAACTACTACCTAGGGTTTCCTTCCTCTGCCCCATCCCAGCAGTAAATGAGTCCATTTCACTTTCAAAGGTTCAGCTTGGTATATAAGGTTGGACTGCTTGAACAGATTGATAGTTACAGTAGAAATAAATTGTTCTGAGACACTTGTACTAATTTCTTCTTGATTTCTTAATTTTGTGCCTTCTATAGTACATACATATCTTGAAACAGAAATCTTAGGCAAAACAACAGCAATGAATTTTATAGTGAGATGGAAGGAACACTCGATGTCTCGATGTTTTAGCTAAATACCTCTGTGGCCTTAGGTATACCCAGGAGCTGTGTGGTAGTAATAGGCTTGTCAGCTTCTCCACTTCCTATCTGTGTTGCCTTTTCTACATAATTTGACTTCTAAGTCCCTTAGTTTCTTTCATCTATAAAATCTACGAGTTGTAAAAATGGAATGTTAATATATGTCAATGTAAATACATGCTAATACACAACTATGGGTTGTGAAAATAAATAAGCTAATACATGTAAAGAACTTATTAGAACAATGGCATGCACACACATACTGTTTTTATATGTTGTGTTGAGGGGGTCCTGAAGACCACCTTTATCTGTATTTGATAATTTTGATAATGTCTCCATAATTTACTAGAAAGACCCACAGGACACAGAAAAGTTGTTAGACTGGCAGTTACGGTTTACTCCAGAAAATGATATAGATTGTAATTAGGAATGGAAAACAGTACATAGGGAGGAGTCTAGGAAAGACTAACTTGTAAGATTTTAGTTGTCTTTTCAGTTAGATTATATGGACAGAACTTAATTCTCTTAGCATTAATGTGTGACAACATCTATAAGATGTTGTCCACTATGAAGGTTCACCTGTGTGCTGGTGTCCAGGTTTTTATTGCGGGGGGCATGCAGTACCTTTGTGACTGCTCAGTCCTCAGCCTTTCCCTATCTCCTCTTGTTACCGGACCTCACCACTTACCCAAAGTTAGTCTTTGGGTCGGGGGTTTCCACAGTATCATCCCTTCATGGTTCACCAGAAAGGTGTTACCGGAAAGTGGTCATGATCTAGACCCCAAGAGAGGATTCTTGGATCTCACGCAAGAAAGAATCCAGGGTGAGTCCATAAAGTGAAAGCAAGTTTATTAATAAAGTAAAGGAATAAAAGAATGGCTACTCCATAGACAGGGCTGCTGGTTGCTCATTCTTATGATTATTTCTTGATTATATGCTAAACAAGGGGTAGATTATTCATGCTTCCCATTTTTAGACCATATAGGTTAATTTCCTTACATTGCTATGGCATCTGTAAACTGTAATGGTGCTGGTGGGAATGCAGCAGTGAGGGCGACTGGAAATCACTCTCATGGCCATCTTGGTTTTGGTGGGTTATGGCTGGCTTCCTTATTACAACCTGTTTTATCAGCAAGGCCTTTACGACCTGTATCTTTTGCTGACCTCCTATCTCATTCTGTGACTAAGAATGCCGTAACCTCCTGGGAATGCATCCCAGCAGTTCTTAGCCTTATTTTACTCAGCTCCTATTTAAGATGGAGTTGCTCTGGCTCAAATACCTCTGGCACTCTTACTGCCTTAAAAGGGTCAAACTGTCACAGTGTGACCTAAAGCTCAGACACACAAAAGCAAGCATGTACTATAAATCACACTGTTAGCATAAACTACTTGGCATGAACCAAAGTCTCAGATATACAAAGATCTTCTTATCAGGCAGGCCATTCTAAGGGCTCAGAGGAGCCAGTCAAAGGCCAGTCTTGAAAACTTGTAATGTATAGGGTTTGGGCATCCCAGGTCTACTGAGTTAAAAATTTACTGCACATTTGTGTAAGTTTTACTTATTTGAACAATGTAACCATTTTTATAAGGAATAATTTGTTTTCAGTTGTGAACATTTATTAAATATCTACTGCATGATAGCTCTTTTTATAACATTTTCTCTGTAAGCTGGAAAATAATTTGGTTGAATTTATATAAACTTAGAAAAAAATCATTATTACTCTAATATAAAAGGACACATCAACTACTACAGATTATTACTAGTATTGCAATAGTGGTTGGTCATAAGAGTGCTCCGTAAGTTTTAACTATAATTCCATGCCAAATGCTCTATGCATATTATTAGTTGTGGTCCTTATTAACAACTGTGGGAATTAGGTAACACTTCTAGTAAACAGGTGAGAGAATCAAGGTCCAAAGAGTTTCAAGAACTCCTTCAAGCTTCCCATCCTGTAAGGGACAGAATCTAACTTGATTATCATCTGATTCATGGTCTTAACATCATGCATGACAGTTTCCAATGACTCTGAGAGACAAAGGGATTAAAAAGTACACTAAAACATTAAAAATTCAACAAATTTTATATATCTCAAGGTACATAGGATATTTAGATGCTGGGGCAGAGTGTGGCTAGAATACATATGTCCCTTTTACCAAGAGATCACTGCAAAGAATATTCTAATACTCCAAAATGCTTCTCTCCATAAAAATATGATATGGCAAGCAAAAGTAAGAAAAACAGAAATATGAAAGGGAATACATTGTGTAGCTATTTTGAGTGTCTTTATTTTTTATTTTTATTTTGGAGACAGGATCTACGTCTGTCACCCAGGCTGGAGTGCAGTGGCACAATATGTCTCACTGCAGCCTGAACTTCTGGTCTCAAGCAATCCTCCCACCTCAGCTTCCTGAGTAGCTGGGACTACTGGCATGTGTCACTGAACCTAGTTAACTTTTGAGTGTCTTTATTAAAACGAGAAACATAAAATCTGAATGTATTCAAAGGTTCCAAAATTGTCACCATGAATTGTTTGTAATCGTGTCTTTTTCCCTTCCCTCTTGTTAGATCTCAGTCTGTGGTAGAAGCTGGAACCCTGAAACATGAGGAGAAGGGAGAGAATGAGAACACTCAGCCACTCCTGGCTCTGGACTGAACCCTGAGTCACCCCAATTCTCCCGCACACTGGCCTTCAGTGGTATCAGCCACCCAGGAAGCACATGTGCAACTGACCCACACGGACACATGTGTTTTGCTTGACATAAGGTACTCCACTCCTGACCCCCTGCAGTGACTGTCACCAGCCATCGGTCTGAGCAGCCAAAGTTAGACAAAGACTTGAGCGATGCTTTTTTTTTTTTTTTCTCCAGCAAAGGGATTGGAGGATGGTGCAAGGCATTTGTGTAAAAAAGATTCTCCCTCCTTTCATATTTATGGTAGCAAATAAATTGAAAAAAATCAAAAACTAAATTTGATGCACATACTGCATTAGAATAAGAATTTTTCTGAGGTATCATACAGGGACCCTCTCCAGTTTTTGAAACTTAAGTGCATTTCCAAGTAAACGTGTCAGAGTTAAACTGTGCAGACACCATTGTCAAGTTTCATGTAGTACAAAACCCTGAGACAATAGTATCTCCAGTCATTTCCATTCTTACTAAATTATTTCCTTTGACCTAATCACCAGCATCGAATTGTTCAGCCTAAGAGCCTGTTCTCATAGGTCTGAGTATTTGCAAAGTTTGCTAATTTTGATATCCTGCAAAAAATTATTTTGATGTCACATCTCTTGTCAGGCCACTAGCTTACTATCATGAGCTGATTTTAAAGGAAGACACATGCACATGAAATATGATTATTTCATCTTAGCAATGTGAGTTCCCACAGGCAGCTCAAGAGCCTGTTAGTGCAGTGTGTGTGCAGAGGAGACATCTCATTGAAAACACATGTCAGTGATTAATGAATCCATTCAAGTTGCCTCAATTGGGTCACTACAGCAAAGAAAAGTGCTATCAAACCATTTACCCCTTGACCCCCAAACCTACTGCAACTATTAAAGATGTGGAGAAAGAACATGGTTGTTGGTGAGAGGGTAAATATTCAATCATGGGGCAAGAGCCATACAGATGGCTAAATATGCAGGTACTGAAATTAGAGAAGACTAGAGATTCAGGGTGAAATGCCAAAGGTCATTTTATTTAACTATCTATTCCTTAGAAATGGAGTCCCCAACTACCCATTCGAAGGAAATCAGATATAAAATAAACGGACACCATACGATGTGATATCCTTACTTGTGCCATATTTTCCAAGACCAGTGCATATTTTTAGATGTCTCTTATTTGCCCAGCTATCTGCATGACATGGGTATTTATTAGTATGACCAGTTGGTGCTCAATGTCAAACAAAAATATTTTAGTTAATCATGGGCAATAAATTATGATTTTACATTTTAAATATTTGGGAGAGCTAATTTGTTAGCTAAATAATTCAAAGGAAAGAGATCATTCAACTGGTCATAATCACCCCTGCTAGATATTATTACTAACATTAATTATTTATTACATATCTTTCTCAATGGATCTAATGTTTTATTTTTTCCCTACTGGTAAAGAATAATAATGAAAGTAATTTTTATATTACAACCTAGGAGAAATAAAGTTGAAACAGAATTAAAAATATTTCTCAAACAACTGTATCACGATATAAATTAAACTGATTTTGTAGACATTTTAAATCACAAAAATAATAACATTGAACTACTTCTACCAATGCAGTGATGGAAACACTTTTCTTATGTTACCAAGACATAGGTAAGAGAAATAAAGAATTTATGTGAATTAGAAAATCCACTTTATTGCTTGGGTTTAAAATAGTTGTGGGATCTAAGTATTTACATGCTATTGGAGCCAATTACTGACAACACTTTGCAACAGTAATACCATTTTTAGTTTTCAGTTGGCAATATTTAGAAGCCTACTGTAGTGACCTGATTTTAAATACCGTATTATATTTACTAAGTTAAGAGCTAGTTTTTACTTTCTTCCATAATTTCATTACATGAATGTAAGGTGATGGCTCAACGATGATGACTTATAGTTTGAATTTCTTTATGTGTACACAATATACATATGAGAACCAAATTCAATAAGTGAGACGAATGTTACTACATGAGCACTGAATTGTATTGACCTTGCCATTTCGTCTGTTCAATAAATACTGAAGGACACAAATACCATTTACTTTTCAAGAGTTTACCTTCTCTTCTCAATTTTAGTAATTAATCTGGATATTTTTCCTCCCATGCCTCTTCATCTGATTCAGTGGGGTTTATCAATACCAGCAAAACAGAAGAACAGGAAAAGTATTTTGCAAATTCATCTACTGGAAGCTAATGTTCTTAAGGTCAACCAAAAACGGTCAATTTCAATTTCAAAGAACTGTTCTTTAAATGAGATAGTCTACTTTTGTTTTTAGATGAAAAAGATAGTACAAGTGTTTTCTACCTATGAATGAAATTTGTTGATTTATGTGCCATTCCTGCAGCATTCTTGTTCATATTGGCTTAGAATTCAGCGCATGAATATCATTACATTCTTATATCCAACATTTCTAGTTAGCTTTGATTTAAAAAAATATAAAATCTGATGCATTAATACTTTACTAAATTAATGACTTGATCATCTTTGGAATGAGTAGGCAAGACCATTTTCAACTGTGATTTCTATGTTGTGAGTAATGTTGAAACTAAATATAGATGACAATAATTGTTCTTTCATGGTGATGTTAAAACAGCAGAAGTTTCTCAAGCCAGGGAGATGGGACAGTCTTTAAGACTCTTTTATCAAAAAGGAAGGCAATCTGGACCTTCTACACCCAGGACAAAGATCCTGGCATTCTTGGTGACCTTTTACTCTGCCATCCTTAATACTGCTACAGAATTGTGGTGGAAATCATCTCCAAGACCGAAGAGCTGGCTTCCTGTCATTCACATGGATCTACCACAGGCAAAGAAACTGTATTCCCAGGACATGCGTCATGGATGGCAAAGCAGCCAGGAGCCAGACTCCCTATCAGTCACCTATGCACCTGATCCTGAAACAATATATTTTTATTTTCATAAACTGTACGTTTCCCCAGAACTTCTAATACTTGTCATTAAAAAATTAGCATGTGGGATTTTTATAACAACAATATAAAATAATCCCATGTTTTTTTTCAGTGTGAAAAGTTCCTCTTTGAAAGAAATATGATTTTGACAATATTTCCATCACTGGCATAGTGAGAGGAGGATCTGAATCAAGATTTTAAAAAACCAAACAACTTGAGAGTTAGGATGGGTACAGTTCATAGACACTGGCACCATGACCTCTTTCTTTTTTGTATTAGGAAAATAAAACTGCTTTTTTCATGAGTGTCTTTTACTAAGCAGAATTAAAAGAGGGAAGTCTTGAGTTCCCCAGTAATGCTACCATTAAACATCTAGAAGTAAAGCATTTATACAGCTTGTCATTAAAATCAACAAAAATGTAGTGGTACATGATGACAAAATGGTCTAGCTATGCTATAAAAATATAACTGCATAGAAAAATTACAAACTAAAGCAATCCATTCACAGTTTCTACATATATTCTCATTATACACTGACTTAGACCTATCCTATGTGGGAAAATATCTTTGGCTGGTAAGGTAGAAGCTATCAAATGCTCACCTTAAATACCGGCAGAAGACCAGCGCTGTCAATGGATGACACCCAGCAGGGTGTTTTCTAAATGAATTGCAGCCAGGCAAACATTCCCTTTAGTGTCTTCTAACCCTAGGAGGAGGCTTAGAATTATTCGGGCTGCAAATCAAGGGAATTAAGAGTCTTAGTGTTCGAATTCTATCATTACACCCAAGGAGATGGAACCAGAAAGGCAGCCTCTCTCCAGAGCATCCCAAACTTGCATGAATTCCTGCTAAATTGCAGGAAGGCTGCGTCTCTGCTGTGGGGTCAGTTCCGGGTGCCACACATCCACGATGAATATCAGCCGGAACGATGAGGCGTCCTGCCATACCTCGTGCTCAAAAGAGTCATCAAAGATGAGTACCTTGCCTTCCTCCCAGGTCCTGCAACAGAAAGACAAGGATTCCTGAATAAAGCTTTGTGTGGTTAGGTGTCTGAGGATCAACTCCTGTACATGTGTGAGAAGTACCTTTGGTAACAACCTTTGAGACATAACCAAATAACTAGAACATCAAGCCCAAATTTATTCTTCCCTTGATGATTAGGAAAGAATTTCAGAAATCTTGTTATGAACATCAGTTTTCATTGCTCAGCACTGGAGATGTACAAATGGTAGGGGATTGGTGATGAAGACATACTGGTTTTATTACATGTCCTTCAATTATTTTGTATATTATTCCATGTCTTGCAATTATTCTGGTTTAGACATATGGGCAGTAACTAGCCTCGGGCATCTCTATGCCTCTCAGGACACCTGATGGGGGTCTGCACATCTCCAATCAACTGTGTTTTCAGCTCACTCCACTTGTTCAAATTTCATTTTATGGAAGAAAGGAATCTACTTAAACACAATATTCATAAAGCAGAAAACTAAATTAGGAGTTTCCTAGCTAGTATTCCGGCTGAAGAAAATGGGCAGATTGGGAATGAATTTTGTTTATATTTTTAGTATCATCTTCTATGCAAGTGGGTTATCCATGGAATATTTTAAATCAATGTGGCAAAATACCCTATAGCGCTTCCAACATTACCTCATAAGATATCTGTATAAGGACTAAAATCTAAATATAGTGTTAGTCTATTAAGAGAGAAACATACAGGAGGCAGTCACACAATGCTTTTCAAATCCAAAGAGAGTTTATGAGCTACACAAATGATTTTTTTAAAATAGATATTAATTGCCAACATATTAAATACCAAGTTATGTTTTTAAATTTTTTTGCTAGAAAATTTTCTTTAGATACTAATATTCCACTTAAGCACGGAAAATTTTATATCCTGGATTAGCAAATAATGACAATTATAGCATGGGAAATGCTAGCTTGATTTCAAGTTACTGTATTATCATAAAGATGTTTTCCTTGACAAAACTAATAGTGACTCTTTATGTTCCATATTAGGTGATAACGAATATAAACTGAGCAATACTACATATATTGCAGGGCTTCACAACCTTGGTACTACCGACATCTAGGCCAGATCACTCTTTGTTGTAGGGGCTGTTCCATGCACTAGAAGACATTTAGCAGCATCTCTGACCTCCAACCATAGTAAGGTAGTAGCATCCCTTTCATACTATTAGGTTGATGCAAAAGTAATTGCGGTTTGCCATAGTTGTGACAACCAAAACATCTCTAGTCATTGTCAAATGTCCAGGGTAGGGGCAGGGGCAAAAATCATTTCAGTGGAAAATAACTGACATATTGAATAAATCTGACAATAAAATTTCCAAGCTACATAAACTAACAGATAAAGTAATGAGTATTTGCAAGTTAAAAGTTCACTGAAGTTGGGAACTAAACCTCTTCTACTGCCCACCCTCCTGCCTGCACCCACTGTGCTATCTCACACACTTCATGATACGGTTTGGATGCATCCCCACCGACGTCTCATCTTGAATTGTACTCCCATAATTCCCACATGTTGTGGGAGGGACCCTATGGGAGATCGTTTGAATCATGGCAGGGTGGGGTGGCTTCCCCCATTCTGTTCTCATCATAGTGAGTAAGTATCATGAGTTCTGATGGTTTCATCAGGAATTTCCGCTTTTGCATCCTCCTTATTTTCTCTTGCTGCCACCATGTAAGAAGTGTTTTTAGCCTCCTGCCATGATTCTGAGTCCTCCCCAGCCATGTGGAACTATAAGTGTCATTAAACCTCTTTTTCTTCCCAGTCTCAGGGATGTCTTTACCAGCAGCATGAAACAGACTAATACCCCTTGCCTCATGTCTTGCATTCCACACACACGTTGATTGGCTCTTTTACAACTCCTCTAGAGGTTTAAAGAGTTCCACTGGAGTTCCATCCAAGGGTAGCAAAAGGCAGAAATCTGTGGACTCAGGAGCAAATGACAGGCATGCATTCATTACCATGCAAAACCCAAATTGAGAAGAAAGGTAGAACTAAGGAGGGTAAATACACTGACAAGAAAAATCAGTGAAACGGTCCACAGCTTCCACAGTTAGGTGGTCATTTTCCACGTCTTAGTGTTGTCACTGGGATTAAGCAATGTCAATGAGTACCACAGACAAGCCTAAAATTTATGCAGAAGATGAGGGAGGAAGTGTACTCAAAAGGAAAGACAGTGCACCTATGTTCACAGCAGCAGCACTATTCACAACAGCCAGAAGGTGTGAGCCACCCACGTGTCTAACGATGAATGAACAAACAAAATGTGTACACATACAATGGAATATTAATTCAGCCTTAAAAAGGAAGGAAATTTTTATGCATGCTACAACATGTATGAACTCTGAGGACATTATGCCAAGTAAAATAAGCCAGACTCAAAAAGACAATTTCTATTTGATTCTACACCTCTGAGGTCCTAGAGTAGTAGGCAAATTCACAGAAAACAGAGAGAAGAGTAGTTGCCAGTGGCTGGTGGGAGGAGGGGAATGGGAATTATCATTTAATGAGTATGGTTTCAGTTTTGCAAGTTAAAAAGAGTTCTGAGGATAGACTGTAGTGATGGTTGTACAATATGGATGTACTTAATGTCACTAAACTGCACATCTAAAAATGGATAATATGGTAAATTTTGTTATGTGTATTTTACTACAATTAATTACAGAAAAAAGGGAAAGGAAAAGAGAAGGAGAGAAGCAACACAGCAAGATGGGAATTTATGGTCTTTGAGGGGAAGACTCTTGACTCTGGCATTTTTTACTTATGGGACCTAAGGTGAGTTAATTAGCGTAATTGAGTCTTTGTATCTTCATCTGCATAGCTGATGTGAGGATTAGCATATGATTGGCACATAGTAGATATTCAATTAATGACAGAATATAAAACATAGAAGGAATGAAAATATAAAGAAAAATAGGGAAAAGATAAAAGACAGAGGTGAAATGTTGAGAAGTAGTATGTCACCAAAAATGACCCTGGCATCACTCTGTATGAAATCTGCCTTCCTCTGAGGCAACTAAAAACTTCCAAGGGAGATGAGGTATAAAAACATCTTCAGAGATTCTGTGAAATGCACTTTGTACAGCAATGACAAGTGATTTTCAAAGTTTTTTGGGTGGCAGAGAACCTGGAAACTATTTAAAATACTAGAAGCAATTAAAATAATGGAAAAGAAATTTCTAGCCCTCCCAAAAGACATTTTTTTTTACTAGATTATGATAGGTATAACAAAGCCAAAGATCTAGAAATGTTTTATGGAAGAAAGACCTTAAGCATTCCATTCATTAACTTAAATTCCCTCTGAACTGGGAGAAGTTATTAGCACCAGAACACACTGGTCACTCATGGAACATCAGTGCATATAGGAGTAGGACTTAAGAACCACAGGCTTGTGGCTTTCCAAATACATTAAGTCAAATACAGATTAACGTAAACCATTAATTAACCAATTTTATAAATGAGAAATTTGGAAAGGTAACCCAAAGAATGTTAATTGGCGTGTTTTAGGGTCACAAAACTCTATGGGGAAAGTGGCTACTGTTAGACTTATATTTGTCCTTCCACTTTCTTTCATACATTTCCCCAGCAAATAGCAAAGATAATCAATTATATAATGTAGATTCTTTAATGTAGATTTCTTCTGAATTCTTAAACAAATGGTACCTTTCAATCAGTTATTAGAGATAGAATAACTAAACTGTAGTCACAATTCACCTAAAAGGGGAAAATGGAAGAACAATAAGACCTCATCCAAACCATGTCCAGACTTAAGTGACTCCAGGTTAAATTAGAGATGTTCACTTGCTTGGGAAAGGATGAGTGTTTTTTCCCACAACAAAGAGAGAGGAGCATAAAGATATGAAAGGTCTTTAAATTGCTTCTGAATGAAAACCAAAGACTCATTAGAATGCAAAGAAGTAGTTTTCAGGCCACTTGCTTTGTGAGCAAAGCTCCATAAAATAAGATTAAGTTACACTGGAATTATGACATAGAATCAGCCCTTTAGAGAAATGATCTTCAGAGGGACCTGTGGCAGAGGTCTGCCTGGAAGTACTGCCACAGCCTTTCTTTAAGGACTCAGAGAAGTAGAGACTGGGGATAGGCACTGCTTTCTATCCCTAGACAGCAACCTTGGCTCACAGCTGGAACTTCCTCCTTCCCTTCCTCTCTCTCTTTCTCTCCTTCCCACCAACCCTTTCTTTTTTTCAAGACAGGATCTGCTCTGTCACCAGGCTTGAGTGTGGTGGGACCATCACAGCTCATTGCAGCCTCTGCCTTCCAGGCTCAGGTGACCCTCCCACCTCAGCCTCCCAAGTACCTAGGACTACAGGCATGCACCAAGATGTCCAGTTAATTTTTGGATTTTTTGTAGAGATGGGGTTTTGCCGTATTGCCTGGGCTGCTCTCCAACTCCTGGGCTCAAACAATTCTCCTGCCTTGGCCTTTCAAAGTGTTGGGATTATAGGTATAAGCCACTGTTCCTGGCCTACTGTTAGAATTTCTTACCCCTAAGAGAAGAAAGCCTCTCTCTGGGTTGTCAAAAGATGTAAGAAATATTTGGTCACATGATAAAACAGTATTATATAATCTGTCAGCTTCTCAAATTATAATTAATGATAATGATAAAATGGTGACTGTGCACATTTAATAACTATAATTTGGTCACAGAATTACTAGTGATATTAGTAAGGCTAAGTAATGATACTAGGTGCTTATAGAGTCTTCCACTTACAAATGCTATAGAAAATATCTTAGCTATCTTTGCTAAAATGTTCTGAGATTGGCAAAGTACATGATTGTGATTTTCACACAAAGGAATCACATGGAAACAGGTTTTGAACTCTGCAGTGACATTGTGATTTTGTGGCAGAAGCAGAAAGTCATTACAGTCCAACACACTGGCTTAAGACCATGGTCCTGGGAGACATTCTTAGCGTTTGTAGATGATATGCTGAGGTGGACTGCAAGGCATGAA